CTTTCGACATGTTTCAAATGAATTAGAATCCACACTAGCAACAGGGGCGCACATCCTATAAAGCGTCATTCTCCTTCGCGCCTATAAGAACTCAAAGACCGGAACGTCTCAGCTAAAATGGCTGGAACAGGATCCACGTGCTTGTCTAATCTTTCAAACAGGTCAACGACTGATACGTCTACATATCCTAGCACCTTTGGAAAAATAACGAGCCCATAAATCCCTAAAGCAAACAAGTCAAGGTTCTTTCTCTTATCAGGGTGACGAGCAATCACTTCTTTCAGAGCAGCCCAAGAGATGCACTCACTGTCTCCCTTTTTCTTAATGTTTCTGACTACCCAATCTTCACTCATTCCGGTCATCAATAATAATTTCTTCTTAAACGAATGAGTGACTGGCAGCTTGGTATATATTCTATCTATCTGGGACCTCGGACAACGGACCAAAGCTTGATACTCCTCTATTGTTGGTGTTAGATCCACTCTACCAAATGTGAAGCAGCTATAAGTCGGATTCTAGAACTGCGTCAATGCTCTAAACAGATTTCGGTCAATAGGAACATCCAAAAGATAAGGAATATCGCCATACAATTGATAAAACATCTCTTTGTCGGCTTCTTCCCATCTTCCCCATACCTCTTTTAGTTCACTCAGATCATTCTGACGTACGTTGATGTGAGTATAACCAAATAACTCCGACACATATCCAGGCATAACACTGTCCCCATTGGTCAATTGGGACTGTTCCAACCACCTCAGAATATCTACATTGTCCTCAACCTCTTTCTGAACCGTTCGTTCCATATTACTGGCCTTCTATATGGACATCGATTCCCAAATCAACACCATGTAATGGATATTGCAATGTAAAACAGAAAAGAAATAAAACAAAAATAACAAAAGATCAGTTAGTAAACATAAAGCAATTAAGTCGGGATAATAATTTATTCAAAGAATCCTACCCAGACATGCTGGCTACCCAATCATGCTTTATCAGATCCTACCCAACATGATATCTACCAACATGCTTTGTTATTCACAAAAAGAAATCCTAACCGCATGATATCTAATTTGCATGCTTATTCAAAAAATAAACCTAACCGCATGATATCTAGTTCGCATGTTTATTCAAAAAAATAGACCTAACCGCATGATATCTAGTTCGCATGCATTTATTCGAAAAACGAAAATAAATAACTCAAAAAAAAAGCTTTTCCTTGTGTACCCTCCTCACGGGATTCTTAAGGTTCGGGTTCGGTTCAACCTAAGTTCAGGCTCTATGTTCACTATATGTCGGGTTAGGTTCTAAAGTAATAGGTTCTCGAATTGTCCTTGCCGGTGCCCCCTTGGGCTGCCGAACCCTCAATCCTGGCGCATCATAGGCTTTAGGGGATCGAGTTCAATTTCGAGGGAACACACCTCCTTATGTCCATGTGGAGGTGATTACCATCACTAGGACCATAAGGCGTGAGCTCCAGGAGCGATCCACTATCCCATGCGGAGGTGAAAACCACACGAGCGCATAGTCTCTCACTCCTACTTAAATAGGACGGAGCAGGGTTTTAGCTCATGTTATGATAATGCAGTTGTGCAATGTGTGAGGAAAAGAGAAAAAACAAACAATAAAAACACTCAAAATCAATTCCTAAAACAAACAATTATTCTGAAACCATTAGCAAACAGATTAGTACAACTATTTAATTGTTAACCGAATTAAATTAAAGAAATCAAAATACAAACAAAACTTATTAAAAACCAAACAAGGGATCAAAAACCAAATTAAAACGAATTTGTAATTTTCAATTGCAAAGACAATTAATTAATCGACTATCGGCCTGACTCTCTAAAAATATGTCCCCAGTGGAGTCGCCAAGCTGTCGAAACGATTTTTCCTTAAAAGGTGAAAAAGTGAGATTTTGAAAATCACATCAATTTTTAACTTATCTCATTCAATTGATTTTTAATTTAAAAACAAATGTAATTTAAAAGACCTCTCGTTTCAAAAAATTTGTATTTCCTTTACGATCGAAAAATACGGTTCGAAGAGTCACCACCAACCTTTGATTAGGGTGTGATTGGGCATCCAAAAACGTTTTGTCATTTTAAATAAAAATTAATTTTAATTAAAACAACAAATTAAGGTCTGCGTTACCAAAATCCAAGTTCGGGAGTCGGTTGCGTGTGGGGAAGGATTAGCACCCCCACAACGCCCTAAATCGGTACCTAGTCGATTAATTAACGTCCTTGCATTGAACTTTACAAATTCGAACTTAATTTAATTTTTGATCCCATAAAACAAAAATGTAAATTTAAAAACATTCAAAAGCACTCAAATAAATTAAATTAACATTACCGAGTCGTTTTAGAAAGATAAAGAATGTTCGATTATTTACAAATATCGAGACCAGATCTTAAAAGTTATAACAACCTTTTCTCGAAAAATTTAAATAAATGAACATTTCCTTTTCTTTTGTTCCCAAATTTAGAGTGATGGATCAATTTTTAGGTGTCACTAATGGGATATACTTTTATTTTAAAATCATTAAAAGCGAACCTCAAATCAGTTATGACTGCCCATTTAAAACAATTTTAAATTAAAAGTATATTACCCTTAATCCAATTATGTGGTATGTCGAGTTATGCAAATGAGGCTATCATGCAAATTGTGCAAAAAAGGATGTCGTGCCAAAATTAACTAAACAAAATTAAAAATATCATACAACGTGACATGCAAAAAATATTATGCACATATGTTTCTAAATTTAAAATTATAAATTATGTATACTAACCTATAATGTACAAATGTGATTCAAATATAAAAATAAAGACATGATATGCTAAACTATAAATTTTAAAATATATATATATACATATTAAAAATGACTAAATTAAATAAATGTAAAATTCAACATACAAATAAAAAATAAACCAGGGGACCTAAATATAAGTATACGCATAAAATAAGATCTTATACGCAATTTATCTTATTTAGTTTAAGTCAAAACAAAATGCAAAATAAGGTAATAGTGTCTGCACATTCGGGAAAGAAAAAGAAAAAAAAATCTCAAGATTAAAACGAATAAGGGACTACTTTGTAAATATGCGCCTAAAGTGAAAGGGCTTAAACATGATTTATCCCTAAAGTTATTATATTTAACCTAATAAAAAAACTAAACTAAGTTATCACTCAGACTTCCCTCTCCCCTTTCTTCCTCGCACACTGCCCACGCCAGAGAAGGAAGGCTACTGTCGCTCCATCGCCCCTCACCAGCGGAATAGACGTCGGCCACCGCTCGACTGCTCATCAAAGGGTCTACACTCTAGAATTCAACCGAGACACCCAACACCCATTCTCTATCTCTTCTATCTCTTCTCTCGATCACTCACCAAATCTCGATCTCTACCACCATTCAACCTCCTCGGTAACCGACGCTCACTCTGACCATCAACCCTAGCGTTCAAAAAGCCCAAATAAACACCCAAGGTCATCTCTTCAACTCTACCGAAAACCCCCCAAACCTTCAAAGGATTACCTATCCGGTTGGGTAAATGTCGACAAACACCCCGACGCATTGCAAGGTAGACTATCGAGACTCTCCTCACCTAGATTTATAATGAATCTATTTATCTAACACAATCCTTTATTTTCGACAGTATAGACTCAAATAGCTGGGAGGCGAAACGAAACGAACTACAATTAAGCCAAGCATTTAAACTATCTCCTTTATCTTTCTATTAGTTTCAAATACGAAACAAAAATTAAAGCTTCAAAAGAAGAATTGGAGAAAAACCTCGGGAATTTGCTTACTTATACTCGAATGCCAAAAACAATTGACTTGTTTCTATTGTTTGCTTCCAACGAACCAGGGCCGAGGAAATCCCTTTGTGACAACACTGTTTGATTTTCGAATATGGGAAAGAAAACTCTTACACCACTCCTCTTTTCTTTTGCGCTATTGTGTTTAAAAAAAAAAGTAAAATCTCTGTTCTTCTCGTAATGGCCGCACTCGGCTCCAATCTTCCCTCCTCTCTTATTTTCCTGTGCTCTCTCCCTTTTTGCCTATGTTAAATCTTCAAAAACCGACCCCCCACCTCCTTTACAGTTTCTTCCTCATAGATTAAGAAAACTGAAATCCTTTTTTATTAACTCCCGATAACTGATTTTAGTTTTCCAGGGAGTATTCATGTGGGCTTGAGTTGGGCCTTCAATTGCTCAGCTTCGGGTCTGCTCCGATCTAGCCCCGGATAAAAACGAGCATCTACAAATATTATTAACATCTATTTATTAGTTTTTTGAATAAAAAAAGAAGATATAAGATTTTCATCTAATTAAGATTTAGGTTTGAGTTTGAGTTTGAATCAAACTCGAGTTCAAGGTTTAATCAAGTTAAGTTCGAATGTTTAGAGTTCAAATATTTTCGAGCCTAAGTCAAATTTTAATATTTAATTTCAAATTTGAGTCAAACTTTAATATTTGATTTTGAATTTGAATCAGAGCTTGACAATTTTAAGCTCACGAAATTTTATAGACTCAATTTTAAATTTTTAAATCAAGTCAAATTCAACCATACCCAGAATAGATTCATTTATGAACCTAATTACAAACATTTGATGTAATTATTATGTGATTCTTTTATTCTTGAAATGTCAAATCTCATCAAACTATTTGAAAACTCCATAATGCACTGATCGGACGCAATTCATTTAAACTTGGTTAAATGATAAATAAAATAGAAGAGAAGAAATGAGAAACAAATACACAAATATTTTAAAACAAAAAAAAATATGACAAATTATTCAAACACGAATTTCTAAATTTTCTGTTATTCATAAAAGATGAAAAAATTAAAATGTTTTAAGCGTCTTGGTAAGCGAAACTCAAAACATAGAAGGATTGAAGATAATTAAAAGGAAAAACAGGATGGAGCCCCATTGATGGGAATTACAGAAGAAGAAAATTGCAATAGTTTCGAATGGCAGAATGAGCAAACACTGATGTTGAAGGTAGGGGGTTTTAACTTTTCAGAGACCTTGATCAGCAAGATAATCACCCAACCTCTCAACAACCAGGTTGCATTGTCCTGGAGTCACCGGTTCTTCATAGATTCCGAACATAAGAGCTTGTCCTGTTTTCTTTATTGTTACTCCTCCTGCTCCCTGCCAGCAAGATTCTATGTCAAGAGTACGATCGGTTATATACATATGATACTTGAAAATTTGAAATTCTTGGGAATGATGGAAATGGAATGGGTTAAATAAAGAGAAAACCTTTTTTCCTCGAATGACAGCACCAGGCTCACCCTGGATGACCATATACTTTGTACCAGCAAGGTGTAACCCTTTGGGAGCAAGGTGGCCTGGTTCATCGAAATCTTTCATGATGTCACTGATCTCACTGGCACTTACCTGCAAAATAGAAAAATAAGAGGAGGAATTAAATCAAACACCTTTCGTACAACCAAATGACAGCCAAAATTCAGATACCAATGCCAATGCAAAAGAAGAGGTTAGAGGTATGACCTTTGGGAAGGCGGAGCTCTGAGCCCAGACACTGCCATCATGGCCGACGATGGCGGCGGCTGTTAGATGATTGCCTGTGCCTTCGATGTCACACATTAAGTGCTCGTCTACGTAAGTTTGCCACGACATTTTCTGTTGCTTTGATTAGATTATAAGTTGGTTTTGGTTTGAATGAGATGTTAGGGCATTCAAGTTGGATAAAACTGTGAGACAAAAATAAGAAAGCCAAGAATTATAAGGTTGAAAAGGAAGCTGAATTTAGTAAATCAGCCACTGTTTTAGCAATCATGACCCTCTCTCCCCTCGTTTCCTCTTTCACGTGTCTTTTTCCCCGCGTTCAGATAACATTTCATGCTACACTTTATTAATAATTAACGATACGAGGAATGATCAAATTTAGCATTAGTTTTGTGTTTCATGTTCAAGTATTCAATCTATTTTATTTAAAAGGTACTGCTTAGATTCATACTCCATCAGAAGGACTAGTGAGAAGTTACAGGATTGAAGAACAAGATTGGCACATGTCTTGATGGTGCAACTAAAGCCACTTTAGAGTCGATGAGACTTCATTTTTACTTTCTTATAATTAATCTAAACAAATATTAGGTAATAGTTTGTTATTATTTTTACTATTTTGGCAAAGATAGAAACCAAATTCAAATACTAATTTAGACAACCAAGGTATTTGAATCTCCAACAAAGGCAGCTCGTCTGGGCCTTTCGGCTTTGTTTAGGATCCCTTTAATTTCCCTAAGAAAAATACATGAATCTCAAGGACCCATTTGGTCGATTCCTTTGTTATGGGTGTGATTAAACACGTTTTCAGTGCCAACCTCGAATATCAGCAATCATCCACTAAGTCGATATGATCTTCCTCTGAAAGCCACACCTGTTGAGCTATCAGGCTGTGCACTGGGTCGACTGCTTGGCTGTGTTGGAACTCCTATTCTCCATCTTCCAATCAGTTTAAGTACCCACATAGGTGTCTTCAGGTAGACCTTTCCGGTTGCAAGAGGATGCAACACAGTCAAGAAGTAATATAGATGTCCAGCAATGATTCCGAGCAGATCCGGGGTGAGAGGTGAACCAAAAATAACATCCAAAGCAAGCATTGCCCAAGGTAGATAGAATGCCTAAAGCAATATAGAGAAAAGTATGCATTGGAACATAAAATCCCAGCCAGAAAGCCTATATAAACATTATAGAGTCCCAATTAGTACGTGCCTAAACTTGCAATTAAGCTTACCTTAAGAGTCACAAGACCGTATATGTTGATTTGAGCATTTGGGAACTCTCTACTCCAGACATAAAGGAGCATGAAAACAAGAGATACCCCAAGGAAAGGGGTTCTGAATATCGGGATTGCTGACAAAACCTAAAAACCACAATAAGAAATAATGGAACAGAAAAAAATTACAAATTAGAAAAGAACTGATGATAGGTTGCACATTCGCAATGAGCATATTTCTTACAAGAGAATAAATATAGAGAGGCTATATTAAGAGCTTGACACGAGTATATTCTCCCTTTTTCAAAATTTTCATGTATCAAGAGTGTTTGAAGGATTACAGCCCCATACGCATCCAAATATACCTTGGACATGGATACTTTAAGAAAAATGAAGAATTGGAACAACATGATACAGAGGTGATCATTAGCTCAAGACCTAAACCAGTAAGCCAATATCTATATAACATGCTTTTAGCGGTGATTCGTAGCAAAGATACAAGACCAGAGAACATATTTAAAGCATGCCTTCACTACCATACAATGATTTGCCCTCATCTAAATTTGAACAAACAAATTACAAAGCTAAATAAGAGAGGACTACGGCTCACTCACCAACAACGACAATGCACCGAATATCATCATCCACAAGAAATCAGCTGTCCGTCTCTCAAATGGCCCATTCTCTAGTTGGACTCCATATCTTGCTCTGTACAATCATAAAGATAGTCACAAAACAATCAGTACTTAAAACCTCAAAGAGTCAGTATTGCAAAAGGCCATAACCTTCTTACACTAAAAGAGAATATGGAAATGATAGTAATCTTTCAAAAAGTGATACTTACATCATTAAAAGGCGTATCCCAAAATTGATAGAAAATTTCCCAAGGAAAAAGAAGTTTGTAATCAGCCTCCACACCTACAGTCATATGTGAAGTTATAAGAGAGTTCTCCAGATTAACTATAACATGCATAAATATTTATGAAAAATATGAGATTCTAAATTATCCCAGATATTACACACATACAATCCCATACATAGAAGCCTGTAATAAACTTTATCCATTTTAATTTATAAACAACTCTCTCAGCACAACACTACAACCCTTTATTTTCCGTTTTTCCCGCAGATTAAATCAATAATACAATCATATATACGTTGCAAAATGTATGGAACACCATTCCATAATCTAAGATGATCAAAATCATATTCAATTAGAGAAAACTAGTAATGGAACACTTTTTTCCCTTGTGAAAATTATTGAGATTTAGACACTATGCATCTCTTCTTTACAATCAAGCACTTATATAATTCATACCTGAAAGTACTTGAATACATATTCATATAGCAACGCAATGTAAAAAACATTTAACAGTCCTAATTGGAAGGCTGTAGTGAACAATAAGCATGCAGTCCCATAAGCCTTGCTTATTGGTGGAAGAGAGTTATAAAATCTGAAACCAAATGAATAAAATAGTCAAAAATATAAATAAAGAAAGAAATAATAAAAAAGAATACGACTAACAATAAAACAGTATGTTGGACATAAACATATTGTCACAACTAATTAGGGACAGTATTCCCACAAAAACGAGAAAACATGTAGACTAAGCTAAAATTGCTACAATCAAAAGCTACATTCCTCAAACTCGTATTTAAGTTTCAGAATACATGTATGTGCTTGAGACGTGTATACTCATTTTTTTCAAGTTTTTCCATGTATTTCAAGAATCCCCGGAGGGTCATATTCCATAATCATATCCGGATATGCATCTGACATAACCAAATCAACAAAAATAAAACATCGGAGTAATATAGATCAAATTTAGTAATTTACTACTGCCCATTAACTTATGCAGCTGTTACTGTCCTTATCAGAAAAAAAAAGCAGCTGTTACTGTCAAGTAAAAAAGGCATGAAAATTAAGAAGACAAGACCTTGGTCATCAGTTTAGAAAACATTTTTAATGGAAGAATACTTTAAAACTTTAACATAACAAAATGGTAATACTTTATCATGAGATTCAGCATTTAAGAAATCCTACACCATAAGCGATCATCTAATTTCAAAATCATCAATTTATTTATAAATGAATTTTCATACTAATGCCTAATGGTCACGCTTAGCAGAATTACAGGTCGTGAATCACGGTTAGAATGACTTCTGGGGGCTTCACCACTCCCGCAGCTTCATTCCGACAATATCAGACATAGCATGTTTGAATCAATATTTGGTAAAACTGGAAATGAACACAATAACAAGATGGTATTTTCCAATATTCTTCTGAAGTAGAATCTGGTACACAATTTTTGGACCAAAGAGGAACATTCCAAAAATGGCATCCCTTACTCTTTAAAATCGTGGAGTATATAAAAGCAAATGCTATGTTCCGGAACATAGTAGAAAATTTAGATTTCACTTGAAATATAGATTGTGATGACAAAATGCACACATGACGCATGAATTAGTTAAGATTCAATGTAGTTTTATATTTGAAAAGTCTGAGAACCAGAATAACAAGTTGACAAATATCTAGAAGTATTTCAAATTCACCTCAAAATAGTCGTCCAAAATCCATGAATTTGAAGAAAAAAAATTATCACTGGTGTTCCATTTACATGTATTTTGATACACAATTACACTATCTTTTTAAACGCAACCTCAAAATTTACAGTAATCTTATAACTCTAAATCCTAGATTTCGAAATTCTAACCAAAACATACGAATTCAACCACATAACTAAAACAAATTATCCAGAAAAATGAAGCCATAGAACGAAGATAACAATTAAAAAAATTCGGTAAGAAGGGCCGCAGAGACAATTTAAAACAATCAATTCAGAAAAGGGAACAAAAAAATTATCAAAGAAAAGATAATTGCGACTTACTCAGCCGGTGAAGACATTGCAATCCTAAATAAGAACTCGTCAAATGAGAATAAACCACACCTCAAAGATCTCTTTTTTTTGTTAAATTTTATTCTTCGAAAAACAGGCGAAGATTTAGAAAAGGCTCGGGGATTCTTCCAATTTTGACCTAGAATTTTCAACTGATTGCGTTTAACCGGCTGCCGTGTACTGTAATTTGGGCCGGAGATGATATGACACTTGGGCCCTAAGCCATTGATTTGCAAACTTGGGTTTCCATAATTAGGAGCTTCTAAGTGGCAAAGGTGTCATAGACTCTTTATTATTTTCAAGGTTAAACTATACATTATTACCTCAACTATCACTTTTGTTATGTCTTGGTCAATCAATTATTTTTTCGTTTCAGAATCATACATAATGTTACGTTATAATTTTATTTTTATTTTTGTCACCCATCGCCTAATAATTAAGGGTGACATTGACATGTCACCAAAAGGTAATGTCACATCATCATTGAAAAATTTTAAAACAATACATCAATAATTCTGTTAACTTTTTAACAACGGGTGACCAAAATGAAATCGAAATATAAGATTAGATATGATATTAGAAAAATAATAGTTAATTGAATATAACAAAATAAAAGTTATAATTAAGGTACTGTTGGGATTTAAGATGAAGCTCAATTGAACAACTTGAATAACTTGCCAAGAGGGGCGAAGTGGATTTGAGAAAAAATTAGGGGTTACGGAGATTTAAAAGAAGAGAAATTTGATGCACAAGGATTTATAGTGATTCGACTTCTCAACTAAGTCTAGATCCACTACCTTAGCCACTCACTAAGTATTTTCTAACAAATTCACTAATTCGTTCATTCTTTTTCACAAGATAAAGAGATAACCTTTATAAATCTCTATCTTTTCAATGGCTACGATATACCCACTCCCCTTTTTCAAAAGGAATAAAATGTGTAAACAAGAAAACCTCACAAGGTAAGTGTTTACAAAATTAAGCTCACTAGAACAAAAATATTTACAAGAGAAAGGAAAATAAGAATGAAAATCTTTTCTCTCGTGTTTGATTGCTTGGATAGGTGTTCTAACCATTCTTCAAGTGTCCTCAACTTGTGTTTATAGGTTGGAATGTGTTTGTGGTCGTTTCTAGCCGTTGGGGATGATTTGGAGCCGTTGAGGATAATTTTTGTGCAAAATAAAAATGCTCAGGACATGGAGTATCGATACTTTCTTTATAATTTTTAAATAAACTTATCGTTACTAGCCGTCAGGCCTTACCAGTATCGATACTATGCTTATGGTATTGATACTACTGTGTAAAGTAGTATTGGTACTTCCATGGGTATCAATACCTATTTTGCATTCTGAAATTTGAGCAATTTCGAAAACATTGGTAGTATCGATACTCCCTAGAGAGTATCGATACTTCTCTTACTTTTGGTATCGCGTGAATATTATTGGCACTGTTCATGCAATATCGATATTGTAAGAACATTATCGGTTCTATTTACCCAGAAAATCAGTTTTGTGCTCAAATTCTATTTTAATGGACTTTAAAATATTTTTGGAAGCTTTTGAAAACTTTGAACAAATTCAATTCAAGTCCAAAAACATTTTGCCTTAATTTGTTATATCAAAATATTATAAAACATGGTTCAACAATCTCCCCATTTTTGATATAACAAAACATTTGAAAAATTGTTTTTGGCAAAACTCCCCCTTAATAAAACATTTCACGAAAAAGAGACATATTTTGGAAAATGTTAAAGCTCCCCCTTTTTCATTGAGAAATTGAATTTTTCAAACCTATATTTCTCTCACTTTTTGTTATACAAAAAATAGTTCAAATTTAAAGTTAAAAAAATAACAATGGAGAGTAAGTGGTAAATTTAACGTTAAAATCATTTAAAAAATCAAATCCCCCCTCAATAAATGCATTCCCAACAAAATTGACTTTAAAAGCATGACACTTAAAAGACATTGAATTTCTACAAAGATGAACAAACAAGTTAGTAGCACAAGAAATTCAATATATCCAAGTCTAATAAACTTTATGCAATACCAATTGTTGTATTTAAGTGCATGTGCATAGAGCTATCAAAATATATTATGCATTTGAAAAATTGATATCAGTAGAGAGATATCATTTGCAATAAATCACTTGCATAAACATTTAAATTAAGGTCAAAATCAAAATTTGTCAAAAAACAAAGCATTTAAAACCAATTTGACCAAAAATTCATTATGATGAACTAAAAATTATGAAAAATCATTAAAAACTTTTAAATGTTCATCATAATACTTTTTAACATACATGAGATAGAAAAACATAAAATTATTTAAAACCAAAACTCATGCATGCTTAAACTAATGAGCAATCAATTATCCAAGATAATTAAAATAAGCTTAGAGGTTACCCATTCCTTTTCAAGTGTGGCTAGAGCATTTGAATATCTTCAGTTTCATGCCCATTGCTCCCACACACCTACAAGAGACATTTATTTGGAATTTGGTATCCAAATTGCTTTGGATCCTTGAACATTAGTTTCTATGCCCATTGTTCCCTTTGGAACCCATATTTTTTTAATTTTAAAACATTTTATTTTCTTTAAAGGACAAGTATGTTCCAAATGGCCATGAAAATGGCAATGTGAGCATTTTTCCATTTTTAAACATAATGAGTTGTTTCTAGAAATTTATTCTTTTTCTAGAAATTTATTCTTTTTCTTTTGTTAATTTTTCTTTTGTTAAGCTTTCAAGCTTAACTTTCAAACCAAAATTTTTCTTTTTCTGCATCATTGATTTTGATTTTTGAAAGCTCTAAATCATTTTTCAAAGTTTCATTTTGTTTTTCAAAATCAACTTATGCGTTCAAAATCAAATCATTTTCAACTTTAAATTTTGAAATTAATTTCTTATATTTGGAATTCATTGTCTCAAATTCCAAATACAACTTATCACAGACAACTTGTAACTCATCAAAAAAAAAATCTAATTCACTAGAGTTAGAAGTTACCATTGAATATTCTTCGATGGTCATGAGGCATAGGTTGGCAACTTCATCTTCATCATTGGAGTCATCTTCATCGCTCTAAGCCGTCACAATTGCATTTTTCTTAATTGGTCCCTTATTATTTAGGAGGGGACAACCATACTTGACATGTAATGCCCCAAATTTTAACCAGTGACTAAAATGTAAGTTTTGAAAGTTTAGTGGTTAAAGTATAAACTTTGAAAAGTTTAGGACCCAAAATTGTAATTTTTAAAAGTTATATATATTTTTAGTCTGTAAATGAACAGTTTGGATTAAAACAAAGATTTTATTGGGAATCAAATTTTTTGTACTGGATTTGTGTTAAAAGCTATAAAGCGGTAAAGTTTGGTATTGAAATCAGATAATCGGATCGAACCGAAATTTTACGAAAATTTGAAGGATGTTAGAAAATGGTTGAAATATTATTTTCATATTTCATATCATAGAAAATTGGATCAGAACAGTGCAATTTTTCAGATTTGACCAAATAGTGGAATTTTAGTGACTAAAATGCAATTTTTGAAAATTGCATTGCCAAATTTGAAAGTCAAAAAAAAGTTGATTCATCTTTGACCAAGGAATATTTTAATGGAAGATAATACAATGGCATTTGGTAATTTGCAAGATTTATTAAGGGTAATTTTGGTATTTGGCCCAAAAGGAATAAAAAAATATCAATGAATAGTTTTAAAAGCTAATAATTTGAGATATGTTTGGAGAATTCTCGTGAAACTCTCTTCTTTTCTCCAACAAGCTACTGAAACCCATAGCCAAGGTGAGAAGCTTTGTTTTTAATTTTTGGTCCATTTTTACTATATTTTAAGTTAGGTTTTAAGGATACAAATAATAACATAACCTACATGAAATTCTCTTTCATTTAGTATAAAAATCTTCATGTTTCATGCTCAAGTTGGTAAGATATTGATGAAGGGGAAGTGTGATTTTTATGATTAAAGATTGGTTCTAGATATTAGAAGTGTTGTAAGAATTGATGAAGAACCTAAGGATGCAAATTAATGAAAACAGTTTAGTTTTTGAATCTGAAAGTGAGTTTGAAAATTCACCAGAAATTATATACACATTATTTGGAGGTGATTTTTTTATATATTTTGTTCGTATATCAATCTAGTTTTGTTTAAAATAAACGAGGATCAATTTCAAGGTGTATACATAAAAATATGAATTTTTAACCGAGGAAAGGTCAGAAAAAGGGGCAGCAGATTTTGCACAAAATAGATTCTGCCGGTCAACTTTGAAAATTCACCATAAATTGTACAGAATGAATTATAAAGATTTCCTTATATGGATAGATTTTTATTCGAGTTTAGTTTTCAACGGAATAAACGGAATTAAATTCAAGTGTGTATATAAATACAGAATACTAATTGTTTAAAGGTAGTGCGAGTTGTCTGAATACGAAAATTTTAGAATTTAAGTGGAAATGGATTAGAAGCTAAAGAGTAATGTTTAAATGCTTAAATATATTTTTGGATGATTGGAATTGAAGTTAAATGGAAAGATACCATTTTGAATAAATTGGAAATGTTGAGAAGAATTCTAAAAGAATTCATTTTATGGGTTAGATGGTGGAATTCGAAAGGTTCCAAAACTTTGGGGACTTGTTTGCAAGTTCTTAAATGAAGAAGTATTATTTGAGTAAATTATTGAATACTGGAAAATTTATTAGTATTCTGAAATTTGAATAAAATATTGAGTTGAAGTTGAATTACAAATTTATTGAGTTTGGTGGTTGAAAATCGAAAGTTAGGAAGTTTGAGTTGAAATTCTGGAATTTTTATATTAATGTACAATGAGCATAATGGTGAAGGATCATTATGAATTAAATGGAAAGGTTGAGGTGAATCTAAAAGGAATTCACAATTGTTGGCTATTTGTGTAATTTAGCAAATATGAAGGGTTAAAGATGAAAATAAATATTCATGAATTTGGAAGAGATTTTGAGAAGTTGAAATTATAATGGAAATGTGATTATCGATATCGATTTAATCTCGATTTTATATATTTTCGAATGTTAAAATCAACTTATGTGAGTACGATACTAATATGTAGTTCGAGCATTTTGTGTTATAATTTGGTATTGTTAGACTACGATAAATCTAGCAATCCGAACGATCCGAAAGGAAAGGACAAAGCTCGTAACTAAGACAATTGTATAAAATTTTTGTAGTGGGG